GACCATGCTGCAGGGTTTTCTATTCTCCCTTGACACCTCACCAACACACGGATTCTTTGATTTCCATTTTTTGACTTTGAGCTTTGGCTTCTCCGTCGCAATTGAACCACTTGATTGAGGACTGGACTTCACTTCTATTATTATTATTATTATTAGTATTCTCATGTTCGGGCCGGACTTATTTATGCAATTTTTGATGCCTCAGCCTTTGTTGGACCATTTCTCGCATTTCTGATCGTTTCACCCATGGAGCACAAACGAGACGCGACCGTGGCGGGCTTGGCTTGGCCTTCGAATCCTACCCGTGGACTCGCTCCTACCAACCCTGCTCAAGTACCAGACACCCAGGCTGCTGCACTTTGTCATTCTGGCCCCTCTGACCCTCCTACCAACACCACTTCGGCACCTTTGGCTACTGACAGTACAGCTCCTGACCTTGGAACTACGGTCCATTCTGATACATATTCAGGTCTCGCACCTCCTGATGTCCCGTTTCCGACGGAGCCAAGTTCTACACACAACTACCTCCATCGTGCTCACTTCTCTTCCCGCGTGGTTCACCAGATCCAATTCAAGATCTTTACCCACTCCAACAACACCAGGGAGCTATTCATTGAAGAGATTCCCTTGTCAGGGCTTTCCAGATGCCGTGATCCTGAACACTACTTTTATGGTCTTTCGGGCAATTGGGAATGGTCCCTGCGCACAGCGGATTATTGGCGACATCATTTTGAAATTCCTCTAGTACATGGACATCACCCTTTTCACAACGTTCCCATTGAGACCACGGCACCTACGGAGGCAACCCGCTTTACTCCGACGATCCAGGACTTGGCCCAACAACTTTCAATCACTTTGAGGGCTGCTATGGCATCTGGGGAAACCAACGACACGTGGAGGACGCTTGAGGACATGAGCTTCCGTGACGCGATTGAAACACTTCTAGCTGGGACGAGCCTCCCTTCTGATTGACTGAATACAGTTATGTACATTAGCTCTGGAAAAGCTCTATGTATTTAATTTTGTCGACATTTGCTGCGCTGGTCTTCCAAAATCAAACCCCGCTACAAGCGGGGTGTGTGTGTGTGTGTGTGTAACATCTGAACAGATGTAAAACTTCCTTGGCCCTTACCGTTTTACATTAGCAGGGACCCTTTTTATATTGGCAGGGGGGCAATCTCATGTTTGCAGCTGATTGCCCAACGAAGAGGGCTGCATTCATGACTGATATGACTCCGGGACGCTGGAGTCACGTACCTGCCAATTTTTTCAGAAATGGGAAGAGGCTCAACCCAAGAACCTCAATGTCACATTGTTTATTTCTTCACGGTTGCCACAATCTGTATTTTTGCCGAAACCATGTCACGATTTTTGCTGCATCAGAACCTTCCTCAGAGCAAGGACGTAGAAAACATACTTGGAACAATCTAGTTACATGATCGCCGATACCATCGTCGCCGACTGTCATTTATTTATTTACTTATTTATTGGCTAAGCTTCGCCGAGACATCGCCGATGATATTTTTGCTGGTTTACTTATTCTTTTTGATGTCAATTCTGAACCCGATGACCATTCAGGAGACCTTCTATTATTCGTACGATGCATCGGTAATTTCATTGTTTCGTATCTAATCTGCATGTTTCAGGATTCAGTTCCTGCCGGATCATATAATGATCCATTCTTGTCTAGTGTATGTAATGTATGCATGCAATTTGTGTATGTAATGTATGTAATGTATGTAATGTATGTAATGTATGTAATGTATGTATGTAGAATATGTAATGTATTTATGTAATGCATATGTGTAATGTATATAATGTAATGTTATGTTATGTGTAATGTAATGTAATGTAATGTAGTGTAATCTAATGCAATGTAATGTATGGATACATTTAGATGAAATATCATGCTCCACCATGCTGAAGGAAGGTGAATTTTGAACGATTTCCTTCATTCATTTGTGTTGGCCTCCTGATAAGACTGTTCAGATCTTCATCCAGACTGTCCACAACGTGTCACAGAAGTTCCGGTACGGTTTGGATCAAGTCTTTTGGGTGTAAAAGGTCTACTTTGAGGTCAAACCCATGGCCACTTTTAGACAAAGCGATTGTTATTTACTTGGTGTGTGCATTGTGCATGTATATAAATTTATGTAAATATATATATATATATATACATATGTAAATCTACATATATATATATACATATGTAAATCTACATATATATATATATCTACATATATATATATATGTTTACATAAACATATATATATATACATATATACAAATATATATAGATATATATGCATATTTATTTACATATATACATATTTACATATATATATACATACATATATACATAAAAGTATACATATATACATAAAAGTATACATATATATATACATATGTTTACATATGTTTACATATGTATATTTATATATATAGGTATATATACATATACATACACATACACATATACATATACAGATATATATATATGTACATATATACGTAATATACATATATCTATTTATATATGTATATGTATATGTATATGTATATATATTTATTTATATATTTATATATTTAGTTATATTTATGCAGATACATATATACATATGTACGTATATACATGTAGATAATATTACAGGAACTATCATATATATATAATGATATCATGTATATAATATAAAATCATATGTATATTTATCGAAGGAAGTTTAGAAGTCAAACTTCCGACAGTATGGACAGATGAAAAGCAGAGATGGGAAGAGTCAGAGAAGAGAAGAGAAGAGAAGAAGAAAGAAGATCCAGGTGCGCGAAAAGGTAGGAACGTCGCGAAACATTGTGTTTTTCCAATGATTTGTGGCTCCGGAGGGTCGAAAAGTAGGCTCGCTAAAGCAGCGGGTGCGGAGCCAGCTGGCCAGATGAGAGATGAAAAATTGCACGCCGTTGTGGCGCGAAGCACATTTCCAAGTCAAAATGTATAAAGCACCTCAGCTTCGGAGCACTTTTAGAAGTTGCGATGTCGAAAAAGTGCACGCCGTTGTGGCGCGAAGCACATTTCGAAGTCAAAATGTACAAAACAAGCCAGCTTCGGACCACTTTTACAAGTTGCGATGTCGAAAAAGGTGCACGCCGTTGTGGCGCGAAGCACATTTCGAAGTCAAAAGTGTAAAAAGCTGACGGGTGCGGAGAACTTTTCGACGTTGAGATGTCGAAAAAGTGCATGCCGTTGTGGCGCGAAGCACATTTCGAAGTCAAAATGTTAAAAACACCAGGGGTTCGGACCACTTTTTGTGCCGTTTCGCGTGGCAGGCACAAGGGATTGTTCACCTTGTCAAAACTGAGCAAAACGTGAGGGTTTTGTAGCATTTCCAAAAAGGATGGCAGGAGTGGGACATTTGAAGAGGATCTGCAAAGATGCATTTTCCGTGGCAGGCGCAGTACAAAAGACATGTTCATCAGAGATGTTAGGAGGTCAGGGCGCTGATTTCCTGAGAGGGGTTAATTTTGGAGCATCAGATTTGTAGGTTTGCTAAGATGATTTTGCGTGACAGGTGCAGCACTTCGTATGACCTGGCATCAATTTTTAGTGGCAGGCGCAGTACTTTAGACAGGTGGAGTGGAAAAATCGCAAAACGCATTGGTACGAGGCTGTCAGCGCTGCACTCAACTTTCCATTTTTGAAGGAAGTCTCGCAGAATTGATTGCTTTTTGATCTTGTCAAGTTCAAAAATTGAAGAAGTTTCGCAGAATTGCTTCGTGTTGGATGTTGTCAAGTTCAAAAAATGAAAAGTCTCGCAGAATTGTTTCGTTTTTGACGTTGTTTAGTTCAAAAATTGAGGAAAGCTCGCAGAATAGCTTCATTTTCAAGCTTGCAGATAGACAGATAGATAGACAGACAGACAGACAGAGAGATAGAGAGATAGAGAGATAGAGAGATAGAGAGGTAGAGAGATAGAGAGATAGAGAGATAGAGAGATAGAGAGATAGAGAGATAGAGAGATAGAGAGATAGGGAGATAGAGAGATAGAGAGAGATAGATAGATAGATAGATAGATAGATAGACAGAGAGATAGATAGATAGATAGATAGATAGATAGATAGATAGATAGATAGATAGATAGATAGATAGATAGATAGATAGATAGGTAGATAGAGAGATAGATACATAGATAGATACATAGATAGATACATAGATAGATACATAGATAGGCACATAGTTAGATACAAAGATAGATACATAGGTAGGTAGGTAGGTAGGTAGGTAGATAGATAGATAGATAGATAGGTAGGTAGGTAGGTAGGTAGATAGTCAGAGAAAGAGAAAGAAAAAGAGAGAAAGAGAGAGGTAAAGAGAGGAGACCTCAACCACCTGTCGGTCCATCAGTGGCTTCGCTCTGCCATCCGTGATTCACAACAACCAACCTCTCCTATAGGTTTCCTATTTCTGAAACTTCCGCCACCGCCTTGTGCGGTACTACTGGTAATTGAATCTCTATATATATATATATATTGATATGTCCAATTCATAGCACACGATCAAAGTACTAAACAAAACCCGGCCCGCGACCAAAATTGACCATGGCCTGCATCGCTGCAAAAATGGTGAAGGAAAGGTGCTGACAATTTCTACGCCGGTCAATGGGAACCCCAAACGACCTAGAAAAACGCGTGCTTCGGCTCTTTTTTAGTATAATTAGATTCCTTGCATCAGATTCCGTGCATCAAATATATTCAAACATCATCAAACATCACCATGGTAAAAATTCGTGACCCAGTCGTTATTCACCAGTCATTATTCCCCACTATATTCACTATTGAAGCCCATGGCCCATTTACTTCGTTGATTTACCTATTAAAAATTGTGATTTTCCACTTCGCAAACTCTTAGTTTACCATTTATAGTTGATTTACCTATGAGTTCATAGAATATCGTGATGTTCCACTTCGTTTTTTGTTGACCATTTTGGCTAACCCAATGGGTTCCCAGGAACTCCATGGCTTCCGTCTCAGAGAGTGTCACCGTGAGGCGGAGCATGGGCTCCAAGGTCTGTCCGTGACATTGCCTCGGGAGACGGTCGACGGCCGGTCGTCATCAAAGGTGGCGTTTGGATCCACGGAGTCTATATGAAAAAATATGGGAAAATCCTAGCAAAATCCTGGAAGAATATGGGAAAATCCTAGCAAAACCATGGAAAAATATGGGAAAACCCTAGCAAAACCATGGAAAAATATGGGAAAACCCTAGCAAAACCATGGAAAAATATGGGAAAACCCTAGCAAAACCATGGACAAATATGGGAAAACCCTAGCAAAACCATGGAAAAATATGGGACAACCCTAGCAAAACCAATGGAAAAATATGGAAAAATATGGGACAACCCTAGCAAAACCATGGAAAAATATGGGACAACCCTAGCAAAACCATGGAAAAATATGGGACAACCCTAGCAAAACCATGGAAAAATATGGGAAAACCCTAGCAAAACCAATGGAAAAATATGGGAAAACCCTAGCAAAACCATGGAAAAATATGGGACAACCCTAGCAAAACCATGGAAAAATATGGGACAACCCTAGCAAAACCATGGAAAAATATGGGACAACCCTAGCAAAACCATGGAACAAATATGGGAAAACCCTAGCAAAACCATGGAAAAATATGGGAAAACCCTAGCAAAACCATGGAAAAATATGGGACAACCCTAGCAAAACCATGGAAAAATATGGGAAAACCCTAGCAAAACCATGGAAAAATATGGGACAACCCTAGCAAAACCATGGAAAAATATGGGACAACCCTAGCAAAACCAATGGAAAAATATGGAAAAATATGGGACAACCCTAGCAAAACCATGGAAACATATGGGACAACCCTAGCAAAACCATGGAAAAATATGGAAAAATATGGGAAAACCCTAGCAAAACCAATGGAAAAATATGGGACAACCCTAGCAAAACCATGGAAAAATATGGGACAACCCTAGCAAAACCATGGAAAAATATGGAAAAATATGGGAAAACCCTAGCAAAACCAATGGAAAAATATGGGAAAATCCACTCTCAATGGATGTACAGTAAATGATGTGTGAATCGAAAAACATCGAAGGAAAAGGTGGATTGTCCAGCCATGTTTGATGAACAGAGGGTAAAATTGATCTTCACCCACTCAGAAATGGAAGTGACTTTAAGAATCCCATGATTGATCTTAGAGAACCTGCAAAAAATACGTTTAAGGCTGGGCAGCTTATACCGTATACCGCGCTTTATTATTTATATATATATATACTTTTATCGCAAAATATTGAACCAGAGTCCACACGTCAAACGATCCTTCTTTCCGCTGGTAACTTTTATTAGCTGGTCACATTCCTTTATGGTGACTTCATGCTTCGTGCCATTCACACTTTGATGGACGACCAATTCATTATCTTTGAAATTAGTTCGTCAGCATAAGTTGCCTACAACATGGAAAATGTGCTGTTTCGATCACCTTCCCGTTTCTGGGACGGAACATCAGAAAAGAATCTAACCGCCATCCGCTTGTTGGTGGCTGATCCCTTCTTAATCCTCACGCTTTCATTGCGAAGCCATGCTTGCTGAATGTTTGAAACCGCCATGTCTGGGTCAGGGTCGCCATTTTGGGGGTCATTCGCCCGATGTTCACACCAGCTGGAAAAACCCGCCCCACGAAGTCAAGGTGCAAAGGGAGCTCCTGCGACTTCTCCAGCTCACCCGCAAGCACTGCCGCGGCGCCAAACAAACTCAGTTTCGTTGACGAGTCATTCTGCTCTTTCGATTCGTAAACGCTCAGCAGCAACAGGTGGTGCTCTGCCAAGCCGGTGAAAGAAACACCTGCAGTGGCGTATCATGGATCATCAGAGTAGCTGTATCACTTTGCAAAAGGACTCAAAGAGTTTTGGATTCAGCCACAGTACCTGGGGTATAGTACTACTACGTATCTGTATGTATATGTATATTATAAAATATTATATATATAATGTACATGAGATGTGATACATGTACATACCAAGGCCCCCCTTGGTCCCTCAAAAAAGATTGACCCCATAATTTGGTTCAAAGATGTTCAAAGTTCGCAGTTCTTTGTCCAAAAAAATACGCCCCTTTCAAAGAATGCAGGTCTTTGGTTTTTTCCGGGCGTGTTCAAGGCATGGATCAAATTCATCAACGAAGAGTTGGAAATGTTGTGAAGATGGCTGGGGTTGCTAAAGCTGGTGGTTCCAGCAATCACTGGCATGTTGAACAGAGCGACAACATTCCCATCATACCATCAGAGGTCGGTACACGTAACCACGAATTAATTACATTCAAACTGTGTGTCATTGTCCGGAAAGAAAGAATTGTCTGGTTCCTTGAGAAAGACCTGCAATTTCAATGAGAACCTGTTCTGCAACAACAACGCTACCAATCACCTACAAACAAAGTCCCGAACAGGAGTCTTTTGGCCCGGAAAAGTCGCCTTAGACCTAACAATAATACTAATGATGATAATGATAATAATAATAATAGTAATATTAATATTAACAATGATAGGAATAATAAAAATAATATAACAATACTAATGAAAATATATTCATATGATATATTAATATAATTTAATATATATATATACATACACATACATATACATGCAGTAATATTATTTGGACATACAATACATACTATCATGTATACACCTGTATGTATGTGCGTGTGGTTGCAAAATATGTTACGCACCATGTTACGCCCTGCCTGGAGCATCTGCATCTTGCTCCTTAACTGTGATCACATGCTCGAAGCCGGACACTTGACACTTGAAGCAGAAGGAACGACCTGGTGCAGGCTGGGCAGGGCGGCTGGGCCGCCAAAGTGTGCACAGGTGGATTGGTGTTTTGGCGCATCATTCGAAGATTTTCAGAGGAAATGGCCGGATGATTGAAAGTAGCAGTAAGTTTGCGTTTCACGTGTTGATGTGGCTACAGTAGAAAAAAGGATGCCCGGGTACCCCTAAATCCAGCGGTTAATCCATCATTTTCCGAAAATTGCCATAAATTGGGGGATATACAAACCATTTTGAGGCACTGGTGAAAACCAAATACACTGCTTGAGATGTCTTCAATTCCTTTCAATTCTATCCCTGCTGCGCCTGACTCCTGCGACGTCAGCGAAAGACTCTCGACATCCACGCGAAGAAATCGGCCGGTTTCTTTGGAAACACTCTGAAAAGGTAGGCTGCTGGCAACATCCACCTCACAGGGGAGACGGATCAAAAAATATTGGAAATTACATGTGGGAAGAGTGCATGTGTAGGCTGGGTCAAAAAAAAAATATCAAAAAGAAAATATTTACATGATTCAGTCGAGATGTGGGAAAAGTGCACGCCGCTGTGGCGCGAAGCACATTTCCAAATCAAAATGTTAAAAACACGTAAGAAAAAACACCTCTTCGGACCACTTTTGGAAGTTGAATGTGGCAAAAGTGAACGCCGCTGCGGCGCAAAGCACATTTCGAAGTCAAAAGTGTTAAAAACTTACTGTCTCGGACCACTTTTTGACGTTCAACTATCCTTTTTGGTGGCAAGCGCTATGGATTCTGCACCTTGCCAAAAGTGAGCAAAACGTGAGGGTTTTCACAGCAAAATGTATTGGATAGATGGATTAGATAGATAAGATAGATTAGATAGACAAGATAGATAAGATAGATAAGCTAGATAATATAGATAAGATAGATGAGATAGATAAGCTAGATAAGATAGACAAGATAGACAAGATAGATAAGATAGATCAGCTGGATAAACTAGATAAGATAGATAAGGTCGAAAAAATGGATAAGAAAGATAAGATAGATAAGAAAGATAAGAAAGATAAGATAGGTAAGATAGATACAATAGATAAGATAGAGAAGAGAGATAAGATAGATAGGTAGGTAGATAGGTGGATAGACAGATAGACAGGTACACAGATAGATGGATAGGTAGATAGAAAGATGGGTGGATAGATGGATGGATAGATGGATGAATAGATAGATAGGATGAATGGGTAGATAGATAGATAGATAGATAGATCGATAGATCGATAGATCGATAGATAGATAGATGGATGGATGGATGGATGGATAGATTGGATAGATTAGATAGATTAGATAGATTAGATAGATTAGATAGATTAGATAAATTAGATAGATTAGATAGATTAGATGGATTAGATGGATTAGATGGATTAGATCGATTAGATGGATTAGATGGATTAGATGGATTAGATGGATTAGATAGATTAGATAGATTAGATAGATTAGATGGATTAGATGGATTAGATGGATTAGATCGATTAGATGGATTAGATGGATTAGATGGATTAGATGGATTAGATAGATTAGATAGATTAGATAGATAGATTAGATAGATAGATTAGATAGATTAGATAGATAGATATAGATAGATATAGATAGATATAGATAGATATAGATAGATATAGATAGATATAGATAGATATAGATAGATATAAATAGATATAGACAGATATAGAGAGATATATATAGATAGATATAGATAGATATAGATAGATATAGATAGAGAGGTAGATAGATAGATAGACCTGCCACACAGAATCATCATCATGTCCCAAATCAAATTCGACGACAATTTCACAAAACGCGATTTTCGACCCTTGCAAAACGTCATCCAAGTTCACCAAGTACCGCGCCCACGAAAAATGACTTCCAATTTTGCACCTCTAATTTTGACCCAGTGCCATCCCTGCCACGGATGAAGGAACTTTTGTGCCACAGTGCTGTTTTTGGGTCGTCAAAAATTTACCGCGCACGTATGATACCACCTCAACTGAACACCGGGCTCTAACTCTTACCGTCCCTCAGTGTGGCCACACTGTTTGGGGAAAAGAAGGGCACTCTGAACGAACTAGCGCGCATACCATATATGGAAATGTCCAGGGACATGCGTAAAAAAGAACACACTCACCACGGCGAGTGTAGCCGAAAGGTCTTCACAAAAAGAAACCGGTACAACACTGAAATTCAATGGTATATAGTGCTAGTTCCTCGATGAATCACCAGAAGGATAAGCTATCAAGATCAAATTCGCTACTTAAGCAGCATTTACCCTATAGAAACACTCTTCGTTCCAATAAAGTTCGAAGAATTACCCATTCTCCAGCTCCACTGACATCTGCGATGGTGGTACAAACTTCTCTTGAGTAGACTGAATAGGATTGTAAACCCCAGTCAAACTATGTTGCAAACACCTAGTTGAACATGGATAAAGCAGCTGGTTGAACATTGATTAGTTCCTTCTCTCCATCTATACCAGGCTTGTACATGTGTATACATGCATATACATACATGTGCGTATAATCATATATATATACACATGCAGCATACGCATATATATATAATCATATATATATGTATATGCATATGCATACATACATATAATATATACATATGCATATATACATATGCATATATATATATATACATATGTATTAGTATGTATATGCATCTATATGATATATACATATTCATATTTTAGAAAATGTGTGTATATATATACATATATATCGATCAAAATATCGACATGTTCGTCCAGACCTGCCCCCATCTTCTGTTTACAAACCTCCACAGAGGCGATGACCAGCAAGAAGAAGCTGACGGCCAGCCATGGAGTCACCAGAATCGTCCGCAGCACCGCCGTCAGCACGCCCACCAAAAAGTCCACGCCGTCCGCGCTGCTGACTGAGGCAATGAAGACCAAGACCACAAAGAGAGACAGGAGGAAGTACAAGACCTCGATTTCATGGGAAATTTTGATGATTTAACATTGGTTTAAAGGACATGTATGGGATTTTTTTCGGGATTTTATTGAGATTTCATGATGATTATCTGATTCATTGGATTTATGGGGAGGTGATGATGATTTAACATTGGATTTAATGAGTATTTGTGGAGATTCAAATGGATCAAAATATAGGGGTCTAACTTGCCAGGGTCACACCATTTGTCACCGGATGCACCAAAGCATGCCTTTAGCCTTTTTTTTTCGCAGTGACTTTGAGCTTCCAAGGTTTAGACTTTGAGTTTTTCGGTGAAAAGGGTATGACCGGGAGTTTAGGTCTTCAGGGTTTTTGAGGTTGTTTTGGAAAATCCAGAAACGCTGGCACTACGCAGTGCTGCATGTCAAAGGACCTCATATCGGATATGCCAAATTCCGTGACAAACGTCTGGTGTGCAGAGGGCCAATGGGATGGCAACTCGAGGTGTCACGACAAAAAAAAATGGGTCTGTGTTGGATCACCTGTCAAAAACCAATAGAAACAGTTTGGAATTGATATTTATATATATATATACATATATATATATGGGTAAATTATAATATTTCACTAACCTGAATAGCGCGGCCAGTTGGGGATGATTTCCCTTATTAACCATGATTCCAGGGTTCGGGAGAACAGGGTTCGGTCGTGATGAAATTTACCCAGTCATTGGTCCTTGGTTTGTTCGATGAATCCCTGGCTGAAAACCAATTGTTCAACGGATATTCCAGTGAAATGATGTTGTCTAAACTCATTGCCCTCTGGTAATGACTAACATAGCTATTGAACATGGCATTTAATGGTAAAATCAACTATTTCTATGGCCATCTTCAATAGCTATGTTAAATTACCAGAGGGTATATAGGGGATTCTAAAAATGGTGCATCGGAATCTTCAATACAAAGGTCATGTTCGATGCTAATGGCTTGGATGAAACATCAGTTTCAGTTTCCCATCCATGACACGATGAAGCTCCAGAAGACGATCACCGCCGCCAGCCCCATTTTCCTCAGGTGGATGACTCGATCTTCAGAGATGGATATTGTGGCTCAGCGCTTCACAATTGGATAGCTTAGTTATGGTTCGTTGAGATTGAGAGATTCACCAGAGGCTATCAACCTTCAACGCTCCGTGCAGAGATGCGACACTGCTCTGAAAACCAAGAAAGCAGCTTTGCTGTCCGAAATTTTGGTGGTTTCAACCCATCCCAAAAATATAGGATTGACAAAACAAGCTCCCAAAAACCCAGTGTTTGAAACACCATTTTCTGCACTGTCCTCATCACCTTCTGCTGAATGATGATCAATACCTTACGTCGGCACGTCGGCCAAACAGTGTGTCGGATGCATCCCTTCCAAAGCCCAACTCTAAGTGGATGGCCAAGCCATTCACTCTCCTACCGAAAATGACAACCGGTGTAAATCTTAAATGTTGATCAAAAAAAATCGAACCTTGTTTTTGTCGCTTTGTGATGAAAGGAAAATGAAGAGATTCTTTTAAGACAGCTTCAAAGCTGCATCATCTAGCGCCCCAATGTGGGTTGTTTCACCTCAAACCACAACAAAACCATGAACACATCGGTTCCTTGCACACTTGAGCACTGTTAAACTGGGATTTCTGCTGATTTCTTATATAATCCCAAATCCACAAAAATGTGGGTTTCAATGTGGGTTTATCACATGTACAGTTGGTGCTACCATGTTTATATCCTACTGAAGAAATTGGTGACACCATCCTTCACTCCCCTCATCATCCCCTTCCCACCCAGCTGCCAGCACGGGCAAAAGACCCACGATGGCACCCACGGTGGACACAACGAAGCCGCGCACGATCATCTCCAACAGCCCTTTGACCCCATCGCAGTCCGCTGGTTGATGCGCTGCCAACGCAGTGGAGCTATACCTGACATCGGCGGAGCAACGAAACGCGGGCAGAAACAAATCCAGCGGTTAAAAATGTGATCCTCCTGTTTTTTTGGGTGGAAAGAGTGAGAAATTCTTGAAACAGCAGCGATGATCCTGGTTGAACACCTGTTGATCCAATCTTGTCAATAGCATGAAACAACTGCAGCCTTTTCAAAAAAATAAATGGTGTAAAGCAAGCCATGTGCAACCTATGAGGATCTCAACTGCTTCCTGACCTGACTTCCATATTTGGAACAAGAGTTTTTGCGGCACCACGTGACAACGTCTACATCTCCTACTTCCAAGACCCTCTAGATACAAATCTTCTGAATGCATTGTAACACTAAACATAATTTAAACATGCGTAATAAATCATAGCTAATAGACAATGAATACTATAAGATCGTAGGTAATAAATGATCATCGCAATAGTAGGTAATAAATAATCATCATCACAATAATAATAATAATAGTAGATAATAACCATAATGATATGACAATATACTATAGAAATAGTATAACAATATAATATAGTAAGATAGTGATACTTACAATAAGTAGTGATTGTAATAACAACGATAAAGACACTAAGGCCACCGCGTTACCATAAGGCCACCAGCGCTAAACCACTCCAAAACTTCGCCAAGGTCTCTGCGGACCTACCGTGGTCTACAACCAAACATCGGGTCGAGTCGGAAAGTGCCAAAAATGGATGGTTGTTTTAATGGGATTTTAATGGGATTTCATATGATAATATGATCTTAATGGAATTTTAATGGGATTTCTCTGGGATTTTACTGTGACCTTAATGGGATTGAAACAGGTTTTTTTTTTCAACTGGGGATGTCATCGGGATCATTTTCCGAACGGGAAACCATTGGTTTTCCACAAGTCTGGAAAAACATCTACTGTAGATATTGTAGTGATCCCAAAAAAAACAAGAAAAGTAGATCCCTGTTGAAATAGTGATAACTCAATTTTCGGCAGCTGTCTGGGTTTGCCACATTGAGAGAATAATAACCAAAATCTGTGGGTCATATACAACTTGACCATGTGAAAGACCCAATGTCCAATTCTTTCATGAAAAAAACATGAGAAGTAATGTGGTCAAAACAACAATAAACCATCCCCCAGATCACCATAAATAGGTGGTATGGTTAGTGGTATAAACAGTATAAACCATTCCCAGTCAGGGGTAGTTTATGGCATTGTTTTAACCACATCAGATCGCCAAAAAATTCACCTGGTTTCCCCAACCCGCACCTTTGAAGAGATGTGCTCTGCATCATGGGATGGGAGAACTTTAACCAAGAACAATGCATGCGGAACCTGGCGACGACGATGACTTGGACTTGGATTTCCAACGGGGATCGGAAAACTGAAATCAATGGTGATTCAGTGAACAACATATCTTGGTGATTCTTGGTGAGGGTTAATGTCGTTCTCTTAATTGGATGTTAACTGGTAATTCATGTTACAAGGGGATATATATATATATATAAATGTATCTGTATATATATATATATATGGAGGTTTCCTAAACTTGGGGTACCCCAAAATGGATGGCTTATAATGGAAAATCCTACTAAAACGGATGATGACTGGGGGTACCCCCATTTCAGGAAATCATGTCACAGTGGAGATGTCCCCGTCAGATCCAGATCCTGCTCCTCAATATAGACCATGCAGTGCTGGATACCTATGGAGTTTTTGTATCCACTGTTTGTGGGACACATCATCTTTTATGCCCGTTCTTGTTGCTCAAAAGCCCATTCTTCTTATGTTTTGTTCCCTGATTTTTGCGGGCTGAAATCACCAATTTTGCTGATGAAAATCACCAATGCTGATTCCGTTTGCTGGCGAAAATATCCTTTCTTTCCTCATGAAAAGGTCCAATGATTTGCTGCTTGAAACTTGAAACCAGACCGTATTTTTGCAGGTTCCATCCCTATTGCGGGTGACTTTAATAGTTTGTCCAACACCAGGTAAAAATCCCCTCCAAATCCACTGCTTAGTCACCAAAAATTAGACCATTGCCAGTTCATTGCCATACATTTGACACATTCCTCATTTTCAGACGAATTCATCTCATACAGTCATACAGGCAGGGTTGTCCCAGTAAGTCCCCCATATCATGGTTGGTTTATCAACCCCGCAGTAAGCCAAACTCTGTTGAGTAATTACGGTTGTTACGAGTACCTCCAATTGCAATAAACTGTTTGCTGAATAAAATCCTGGCTTAACATTACATCCATATATCATATACCATTAATAAGTCCAATGGAAATCCCAGTTTTCCCATTTTTCACTCCCGTGATGCCATCAAATCTGCCGTCGCCAGCATCCTAAGGCGGCCCAGCGACAACCAGACGCTCTTCGCAAGCAGGCTGGAGCCATAAAACTTTTCCAGAAGCGCTTTGGCCTCCGCATGCACCGGCGAAAAGCCTCCTGGAGCTGAAGAAGGATCTGAGTAGCAGCACCGGTGAGTGCTGTGGTGATGATTTTTCACAAAAAAAAAAGTATTATACAGGAAATACACTGCAGTATATTCAATGTATATTATATATTTATATACACACACATATTTACACATATTCATGTATATATATATATATATACATGTAGACAGTATATCATTGGGATGATTTAAGGCTTACGATGAAATCGACGGAAAAAAAAATAGTTTTGCACTCCTCCTGGATGGGTGGTTTTCGGTCAGGGGGGGGTCCATAGTCAGGTATCCCAATTAGCTGCATGGTTTATTATGGAAAATCAACCAAAAAAAATGGATGACTGGCGGTACCCCCCATGAATTAGGCAGCCTCCATGTGTCTCTCTTGACATCAAAAATGTCTGTTCTTTTCCTCTGAGATCACCCTCTGGGATGGGCACAATTCATCAGCATTGAGGGATTGAGATCATGTTCGGACCATTTTCCTCCAAACTAAACATCAAAAAACCATGGAGTTCGGCCGCAATTCACCAGATTCAGCCACCTCAGTAATGATCAGCACCACTTCAGCATCACCGCTCCTGTGACGTAGAGTTGCTTGAGAAAGGCCAAATCCACACCTAGCTCCGAGATCAAAATCTTCGTGTGCAGGGCATTCAAGAGGATTTTCTTGAGAGTAGCTGGGTGAAACTGGATCTTCTCCTAGGGCGCGGTAGCCAGCTGTAGCGAGCTATGGACATACCACTTAAATATGCCAAAAAAATGGTGGTGTAACCATGAACAAATGAGAATGGAATGGGATTTAATGGGAATTCATCCTCTTGAACACAGCTATGGAAAACAGCCTATTTGCTTCGATGATCCTATTATTTTGGTGGCCATTTTCCATGACTGAGTGAATTTTCCATTTCGGGCACAACATTTAGGAGATCCCCGGGGTTTGGATACCTGAAGTGGAACTTATGTGTTGAAAAAGAACTTACCCACTGGCAATTTAACATAGCTATGGAAAACTACCATCTGGACCATTGTCCATATCACACTGAAGGTACTGTTAAATGACCAGTAGGTTCTGCAAAGTTTTGATGCTGCAAAAATATGCCAAAATACTTCACCCATGTGACTTGATGGATGGTTCTCATCCAGGCTAAAATTGTTCGTGAATTGGAGATCACCTTGGAATAGAAAATTCCTCCTCCATATAATTTTTCTACGAATTGATGAATATGAGCTGCCCATGATGTTTTTCACCATCAGCATGTGCAAAGTTTTCCCTTGCAACAACAAAGTTTATCAGATGATCAGAGGGCAACCCCAAAAATCCATGGATTTTATCATCATGTTCTCTATGTTTAGTGTTTTTGTTTGTGATGATACAGTCTAAGTTGCATCCCTATGGTCATCTCGGCAGTTGGAGACATGTCCACAACTCCCCTCGCTGTCCTCAGGCAGTTCCATGCTGGTCTTCTTGGTGTACTTCACTAACTCACTGGTTTCCTTGGAACTGGCTCTTTGGGCCAGAATTTCAATCGCTTAATTTGGCGTTTACTTGCCATACACCTCTAGTTGGGGATGGTTTATCCATGTTTCTCCCACCTTTTGGATCCTTTTGGATCCTTTTGGCTGAATTTGGGATGGCTTATTGGGTTTACCACATTCGTGAATCAGACCATCCCCATTTTGAGAAATTCATTTCGAGTTTTACCCTTTGGTAAATCCTACACGAGGACGCCATTAAGGGTACCAATCCTGGATCAGGACATGTGCCAACGTCAGTTTTTTTAGGCCAGCCATTTTTTTTGTTTCAAATCATGTGCCGATGCTAAAGATGACAAGATTTTGTAGGTCCATACAACCATTTTGTAGGTACTCCAATGACTTGATCAATAGCCACCAAAAGCCCTTTTCCAGATCATGTGAACCAACAAGAGTAGGGGTTAAAGCCAATTAGGAGTGCGCAGGCTCGCACAAAACGTGCGGCTAACTTCTGGGGCGCGGCATCTTTCCTGTAAATTCTCGCGTAAAATGGCTCTTCTGAGATGTCCAAGCGCATTTCGACTGCGCAGGCTCGCACAAAGTGTGGCTCGCGGTCTTTGGATCGGTCCTCCTCCACATCATCATCCTCAACATCATCATCTTCCTCCTTAACATCATCATTCTCCACATCATCATCTTCCTCCACCTTGACATCGTCAACCTCAACATCATCATCCTCCACCTCATCTTCCGCATTCTGATCCTCATCCTCATCCTCCTCAACATCATCATCCTCAACCTCATCTTCCACCTCATCATCCTCAACATCATCATCGTGCACCTCATCCTCCTCAACATCATCATCCTCAACCTCATCCTCCACCTCATCATCCTCAACATCATCATCGTGCACCTCATCCTCCTCAACATCATCATCCTCAACCTCATCCTCCACCTCATCATCCTCAACATCATCATCATGCACCTCATCATCCTCAACATCATCATCCTCAACATCATCGTCAGCAACGTTATCATCCTCCTCATCATCACCATCATCATCCTCAACATTATCATGGATTATCCTCACACACACACACAGTTTGGGGTCTCTTGCCGGTGTTTCGTTGCTTGAGTATACCCCAGTTCAACGAAGCGCCCAAGTCTCCAAGCGCTTCAACTGCATCCGTCGCAGTGCCTGGTGTCGTTTGTCCAGCCACAGCGCTAAGATCAAGAAACCAAGTCCCACTAGGAGCAGGAACCAGGTCATCACTGCCTTACCGGAAAAAAAAAAAAAACGATCAATCATTGGGATAGAATTCATGGGATATATAGATACCATATTATATAATCCATATTAAGGAAGCCCAAAAAAATTAAGGTGGAAAAGGATGGAAAAGGAACATCGGACTCAAATGGTGGTAATTTAAGCTGGTCTATCTCCATCGGATCACTCTGGAAAATCTGGAGATGGGGATTGAACCAAGGTTTGCACAGCACCACACCACCCAACGTGGGATGAAGCATCAATTCAACGACCCAATTGATGTTGCCCATAAAAATTGAGCTATTCCGGCGATCAAACGAAGCGTTTTTAAGGGTTACCCGTTACCCAAAACCGGTCCCCGAAACAAAGAGATCCTCAACATGCATCAACTAAAGAGATCCGCACTGATCAGTTTTGAAGGTTACCCGGTTACCCGGGTTTGCTGCTTCAACTCCAGGGTCCCAGATGTCTTCAGATTCCTTTCAAGATGCCGGCAGCTGCCCGGCCCATGAGAAGTCCAGAAGCAAATCCACACCTTGCGGACTTTTTGAATCCTCGGTTAACCTGGAGTCCTGTAGAGCCAATATTGTAATTTTTTTTTGAAGGTTTTCCTATTCCTTTTCCAAGTTAATTGGAGGTTTTCCACCTTTTCCAGTGTTTTTTGGCCACCGAAAATCACGGAAAGTTGGAGCCCGGGGGATCAACGGGAAAAACCCGTTGAATCCCTGGTCTTCACACAGGGCCCTGTAGGCTAATGGCTAACCCTTGGAATCACTTTAGGGCCAAAGGAGATTTATTCAAGTACTAACCATAATGATTAGTAATGATTAGTAATTTTGTATTAATTTAGTAATCATAATTTATTCAAGTACTAATCATTGCTAGTTTACTAGCCACTTGCGGTTCCTTGTATATATTTCTCTCCAAATACATCTGTTTCAGCAAGCTGAATCACTATTCAATCACCCACGATGATGGATTGAAACCCAACAAAAAGCTCGACTCTGGGCCTTCTTGTGAGAAAATTGCTGCAGCGTTGCTACAGGCAAAGGGCATGAGGAGCAGAGCCAACAGTGAGAGGTGCTCAGCAGCACATGTAACCTCACGAAGGGAGGGAGAACTGGTCAGAATTGAGACCCAGCTGTAGACCACTTCTACTTGCAGGATGATCCCACAGATAGTCGCAAGTCCTCCAGTCCATGGTTTATCATGGTTTATCATGGTTTACCCGATCAAAATCCATGGCTTCTATGGCTTCTATGGCGTATACCATGTTACACCGCCCAGTCACAGCCAAACCTGGGCCCCACCGGTCACAGCCCGCCTGGTCGGCCGACTCACTCACCAAGGAGACGCCTGCGCTGGACCAGGCCTGGAGCCCCTCATCCCAAAAGACGCACTGCGGGCGAAAGCGGCCTGGCGCCAAAATTGAATTGGAGGCTGATAAACCATAGGAAAATGGAGGTTTTAATGGGAAAACCACAGGAAAACCATAGGAAAATGGAGGTTTACCCTCTGGTAAACAAACATAGCTATTGAAAATCACCATATTTAAGGGGTAAATCAACTATAAATGGCCATGTTCAATAGCTTTTTGTATGTTTACCAGGGTATGTTGACCAGAAGAAATGTAAGATTTGACCAACCAACATGTGCAAAAGCTCCAAACTGGGATGGTGGATTTTTTCAAGAACCCTTTTAAAAAGGAAGAAAAGTCACCCTTTGGTAATCAAACATGGCATGGACAATCCCCCATGGACTTCGATGATTTTCCCATTCAAACGTCTCTTCGGCCTTCAAGTGTGGGGCGAGGGAAGCTCACCAGCAGCGGTGCTGCCAGTTGTGAAACGCCCAGCCCATCACCTCGGCTGAATAGATAGTGTATATACACTCCCAAGGGAGAGTATATAGTGTGTATGTATATATATATATACACATATATATATATATACATATATATACATATATATATAATATATATATATATGTATACGTATGCATAATAATATTGCATAATATACATGTTATATATATTTTTGGTGCATACATTGATAGATATAAATTTGTATATGCACATAAGATCGCCCTTACATCGCGGAACTGTATCCCTCCAACCAACCTCAACTGACCAATGCACAAAAGCTGCCCGTAACCACTTCCCATAAGCCCAAACAAAACCATCAGCAAACAGAGGACGAAGAATGCTGCGGACATCTAAGGGTGACCCCCCGAGGTTTATCGCAGTGACAAAGCCAGCTACACAATCCAGCTGCATCATTGACCCGCATCCTGAAAGAGGTGTTTTTTTGTTCAAACCCATCATCATCATCATCATCATCATCAGGATTTAACCAACTCCCCTCAAAGATCATTCATTAGATACTTTTTAAGCGCGAATCTTCGCCAGCTCTCCAGGGTGGGGGTGGAATCCCAGCAGGGCCCAGGTCCACACCCAGGGACTGGTGTAAAGCTGCACGCTCGCCATGGGCGAAGCCAACACCGCAGGTGGCGCCTCGAAGAACTCGAAGAGGCTGCTGTTGGAATCAATCAACGCCAGGCTGAGCACAAAGCCGTCTTGCAACGTCTCTAATAGGGCTCCTGCAGGATGGTGCCCCCCAGTGATGTTTGTTGGTTTATAAACCCCAGCAACTATAGTTATATCTGCCATAAACCATAGTTATGGGACTTATAAACCAACTTAGCTAACTATGGGGCACCACCTTGTGGCAACATCTGCCAATGTTGCAAGTTCGACGTTTGGCGAGAAAACAGCAAGGAAAAGTATGGAAGAATGGGGGATGGATCCAACGGTTCAACATCAATAATAAAAAGATTCCACACATCGAAAAAAAAATCGGAAAGGTTCACAAAGAAGAAACTTTGCAGCTGAGCTCCTGATTTGGATACCCAGAAATGTTGAGATTTCACTCCAAAACCTGTGGCTTCAACCAACTCAAACAGCCAGAACCTGACAAAAATCGCGCTCCTGGTAGCTCCACGGTCACCCCTTGGTAGCTGAAGCTCAACCTTGGGTCTAAGCAAGAGTTTTTTAGCGGCTTAACCGTGGTTAACCGTGGGTAACCCAAGTGGTCATCATGATCACTATTATATATATATATACACAGTATATATATATATATGAAGGGCCATAAGTTGGCCCATAAAATCCCTTCACGCTAGTACTAAATACCCCCGCTTCAGTATTGAATCTATTCATGTGGGGGGCACCAAACTATTGAAGATTCAATTTTAGGAGGGATTATAATCAGAACCACGGTGAAAAAATAACCGAAAAAATGGGATTCCCTTTACAATCCTATAGCATTTAAGCATTTAATACTTATCATTGATCATGTCAACCCCGGTGGTTGCAGTACCCCAAAGAGTCATAATCTGCTTCGAAAATAGTACCCAACAAGGGCTATCCAGATGCCACTGCCCCCCATGTTCAGCTGGTGTATACAGTACCCTCTCGTAAACTAACATAACTATGGAAAATCACCATTGTTTATGGGTATATCAACTATAAATGGCCATTTTCAATAGCTATGTTAGATGAATTCCACATCCATTTCATGTGGTCTCATCCCCTGAACCATTCTGTTGCCAACTGCGCGTTCTGGGGCACCTGGTGTTTTCCTAACGTTTTGTGGCTGTTTTTTCGAGGTTTGGATGTATGCAAACATATGCACTTGTTTCATGATGTTTCATGTAACACCTGGAAGTTTCATAGGACTTGATGTTGATGTTGTTTGGATGTGGATGTTTGTTGGCGCCCTCACTTTGATATGTGGCCTTCACATACATCTTTTGCACTGCGTGTTTCTCCTGTGTCATGCTCGCTGCGGGGTGGGGGGGTGGGGTTGGGGGGGCTAATGACTTTCAATGCCTGCTAAGTTCAGAAGTGATGCTATGCTATTGATATTTGCTTCTACACTTGCCATCAGAAGTGATGCTGTGCTATTGATCTTTGCTTCTACATTTGCCACCAGAAGTGCTGGATGCTACGCTATTGATCTTTACTTTTACACTTGTCATCAGAAGTGATGCTACCCCATTAATCATTAATCTTTGCTTTTCCACTTGCTTCCGAAGGCATTCTATGCTATTGGTCTTTGCTTCGACACTTGCCATCAGAAGTGTGATGCTACCCCATTGAACTTTGCTTCGACACTTGCCATCAGAAGTGATGCTACGGTATTGATCTATGTCGCACGAATTTGCAGAAGTTGGTCGCAATCAGTAAATTGTTTCACAATCAGACGTACCATCTGGTTATTTAACATAGCCATGGAAAATCACCATTTTTAATAGGTAAACCTCTATAAATGGGCCATTTCCCATGGCTATGTTAGTCATATTCCACGGATGGAATTGAAAAAAGGGTGCTTCCAACATCGATGCGTGTTTGCAGGCGGAAATGTGTTCGCAGCCACAAAAAATGTACCAGGCGCTTTCGCGCCGTTCCCAGTTGGATCTACAACTAGTTGATACATGTTGATACATGTTATGGATATATCATATATCAACTAGTTCTATATCTAGTATTTATCCATATCAGTCCTAATATCATATATCTACATATATCTACATATATCTACATATCTACATATATCTACATATATCTACATATATCTACATATATCTACATATATCTACCAACTCCACGCCAGGACACCCACTGGCTGGCGCCAGCAGCCGCTTCGACAAACTTGCGCTGCCGCTCGTGGCCTCCACGGTCTCGTCGAGCGTCACGCCGTCGGGGCCGGTGACGTTCGACGCAGCGCTGCGCAGCGCCGCAGCGATCTGAGCCTGTCGAGTTTCCAACGATGTCCTGGGTCGACAGATTTCTGGTCCTCAAGTCCTGAACGGTAACAGAAACCTTGGATTTTCTCTCCATATATACATATACATATATATATATATATTGCATCTTGATACATGGTACATGTTCTGCATATTACATATATACATATCATAAATGTCATCTCAAAATGGTTGAGGTCGAATAATCATTTTATTCTGTACAAAACATTCGAAATTGGAAGGGATTCTTCGGTCAAAAAAATATATTTCAGTCGATTCGCCCTTGCTTCACCAAAACTTCTTAGCCTTCCAGGCTCATCCCAGGCCCTCGAAGCTGGATTATCTTGAACATGGCCAAGTTTGGTAGCCTGCCCAAAAAGATGTTGGTTGGTTTGTGATGGTTTCTGTGTATTTGCTTTTCTACGGCGTAATGTGTAATGTCCCCATGTAGGGCAAGGACTAAAGCCTTACCCGACCCAGAAGACCAGACGGAAACGGCAAAATCAAAGCCTCGATCCAAGTTTCAAAGCCTCTGCAGCATTCACTGGTAGCCCTGTCGTGGTGGTCGTAGTTGTTGGCACGGTCCAGTAGGCATCCACCAAATCCTGTCGAAAATCCACGGTCCAGATATGAATCATGTTCATACTGTGGATGGAAGAAATCCTGCACCACCTTGGATGGTTGAAACCCTATAAATAATGGGATAAACCATCTATCAACTGGTGCAGGATTTCTTCCATCCACTGTATTAAGGGTGTGTCCAAAAATGCGGTATGCCCGCTACCCCAAATTGTCATGTTAATTGTCGGAAATGTGTGACAAATTGTTGGAATTCAGTGGACTCTGTTTTCAGACAAACCCATTTTTTTTTCCGTAGAAAACTACGGTAATTGCCTTCAGAGAAACCCATGGATTTTAACATTGACACTAACCTAACGAGCTGAAAATACAAGTTGAAGCACCGGTCTCTCTTTCGAAGTGCTAGGAGATGCAAAAGCCACTGATCTCCCTACTAAACAGATCATCAAGTTCAGAGCTTGTGGGGGCACACACATATTATTGCAACACAGCCACCATCAGCCACCCATTTTGATCCAGTTAGCTGTATCACAATCATGGCTATTCGACGGTTCAGATTTTTCATTTCCCCCCAAAGCTCTTCATTCTGGTGCTTGCAAATACCCATGCGTCTGAAGATAGTTCCAAAGAATGTCCAAAGCATTTATACATAATATACATTAACTACATGTGTATATATATATATATATATATATATATATGTATTGTACATGTATATATTATATTCAATTATATGATAGTATAGTAAAATAAATATTATAAAGTATTATGTTCTACTATGTAACATGATAGTACATTAAATCATATTATATTACGTTATATTATACTATATTATATTTTATCATACTATATTATATTATATGACATTATATTATGTTATATTTAAAATTATATTATATTATATGTTCTTATATATATAGTGTTTAACATCAATTCATATCATATTATATTATATTACTTTTAACTTATATTGTGTCATATTAAATTATTTTGTTCTTATTATATTTTGTTATATTATGTTAAATTATGTTATATTATGTTTTATCAAATTATTGTGTTATATCAATATATATATATAACATATTGTAATATATTATATTTTATTATTTTTTACGTTTTATATTTTATTATATTTCATAATATTACATTATGTTATATATTAAACTGAATCATTTAGAATTATATGAAAATAAAATCAGTTTATATTTTATTATATTATGCTAATCTAGGCTATATTATAAGTTGAATATACTATATGTTATATTACATATTATGTTATATAATATATTATGATATAAATTAAATATGTTTTTAAAAATTATATTATACTATATGCTGTACTTTATTATATGATCTCAGGATGTAATATTTGCAAAAAATATTAAATATTATGTGTTAAATATTATATATTAAGTATTATCTGCAATATATAATCTATCATGTATTTTATCTATACATTATATGTTAAATTGAATACGTTATATATTATCAAATAAATATGTATATATATAAAAGATAATATTGAACTATATGTTATATAGAATTGTTTCTGCTTTATTATACTACATTATATTATCTTTTATTACACATTAAACTATGTATTGAACTAAATACTATATTAGATATTATTATACATTATGTTATTTTCTAATGTGGTATATTACATGTTATTGTATCCTATAGTTTTTTGAACATTATTTCTTTTACACTACATTATATAATCATATTAAATATTACATATTACTGAATTCAATTATGATATTTCATTATAGCATCAAATTACAATATATATTATTTCATACCTCCAAATATTGCATTAAATTATATTATCATATTTTACTATACTATAGTTCATTATTATTTATCAAAAAATCAAAAATATTATGCTATACTATATCAAATTGTATTTTATTGGTTGATATTAAATTATATTATGCTGTATTATATTGTATCGTATTATACTTTACTATATTTTATAAAATATTATGTTATTTTATACTTTATATTATATTACTTATATTATACGATATTGTATTATTTTATTTTATTGTATTTTTTATTATGTTAAATTAAATTTTAATATATTATATTATAGTTTTTAAATAATATAGTATTATATTAGATTAGATTAGATGAGATTAGGTTATATTGAATTAGATCATATTATATAATAAATTTTACATTATATTATATTTTATGATATTAAATTAGAATATATGATGTTATATTAAATTATATTGTAATATGTTATATTATATATTGTATTATATATAATATTATATCAACTATTTTATTTTTAAATTATATTTTGATATTTTTTACTATACTATATTATATTAAATATTGTTGTATTCTAAAACATTATATATCATATTATATCATATGACATTTTATTACATATTTTTGTATTACTATATATTATATTATGTTGTGTTATATTATATGATAATATGTTATATTATATTGTATTATATGTTTTTAGAATATATCATATTATAGCATATTGAATTGTATTATATTATGTTATAATGTTTTGTTGTGAATTAAATGAAACATCTCTGTTTTTCATGTTTTATTATATATTATATATATATAATACTTTAGTTAAATATTATTGTATTACATTTGATATTTATTATTTTATATGTGATATTATTTTCATATTAATTTTAATTTAAATATTATATTTCATGTTAGATCGAAATATAATATATATATACTTATATCTTGTATCATATATTAAATTAAATATAATATATTATCTGAAATATTATATAAGGATATATTATGTATTATTTCAAATATTATATTGGTTTATGTTAAAAAATTGTATTTACACATATAATATACCACCCACATCTCCATGCGCTACATCCGTCCCAATCTCTAGTACGCCACGTCTCCATTACACTGCTCCAGGTGCCAGCATAGATCCACATGACGCTGGTGGAGCTATCGAAGACGGCTACGTGCATGTAGCGTGCCATGCTGCTGATACTGGTGAATTCCGTCCACGTGCTGCCAGCAATCTCGTAAGACCAAACATCAGAGTACTTCGTTTCCTCAGATTTTGAGGAAAACCCAGGCGCATCTCATGTGTTGAACTTACAACACAATCAAAATGGCATTTGAAGGGGGAAAATGATGATTCACCAATTCACCTCCAAAGTTGGGGGGTACAGCAGCTATCCTCGGAGATTTTTTTTCGTGCAACGTAGTGACTGAATCATTGTTGCTTGGTCTACTACCCTCTGGTCATCAACATGGAAAAATCATAGAAAATCCTCTTTCAATAGTCCGGTGGATCTAATACCCATGATAGAGGATTTCCCATTAAAACCCTCGGTATTTTCCAGCCATGGTCACCAAAGGGTAACCCTGCTGAGCGCTTGCTGAGAAGACCGGAGTTGAACCAAAAACTTGGGGGAGTTGAAGCAATATTATTAATATTAAGCAACATTTTGACATTGAATTGCAGTTACTGTGGTTAGTATGATCGTTGGTATAAATTTTGCGATTTCAATGCTCAATCCGATCGGACGCCCCAACATATCCACAAAAAGCATCCACAACAAATGAGTGGGCACTGCCATCTGCAAGGCACAGATTTCTGCGACGGATGTGCATCCCAGAAGTCGTTAAACGACTTTAAAAAAAAAAACTGATAGAAACCACGATCCCGGATGCATTTTTTAAAAACTCACGTAAAAGAAGGGTTCTTACAGAAGAACAAAGAAAAACGAACAGGAGATGCTGGATCGCATAAAAAACCACTCTTGCAGAACACTCTTGCTTGACACTCCTCTGGGACACTCTTGTGGGACACTCTTGCTTGACTCTCTTGCTTGACACTCTTGTGAGACACTCTTGCCTGACACTCTTGCTCGGCACTCTTCTACCACACTCTTGTAAAACACTCTTTCAGGACAATCTTTTGGGACACTCTTGCTCGACACGCTGGCTTGACACTCTCGCTCGATACTCTGAAACGCTCTTGTAAGACACTCTTGTTGGACACTCTTGTCTGACACTTTTTTTGAATACTCGTGCAAGACACTCTTGTAAAAAAAATCTTGCTTGGCACTCTTCCTGGGACACTCTTGTTTGGCACTCTTGTGGGATACGCTTGCGTGACACATCCGGAACACCTCGCAGTACTACTTTGTACTACAAAGCTTGCACCAAGCAACTCCCAGTGCTACTTTGTACTACAAAGCTTGCGCAAGGCATTTCCCAGTACTACTTCAAACTCAACACTCCACGCTTCGCACTCCACACTCCACACTTCCCACTTAACACTTCATACTTCACACTTCAAACTCCACTCTTCCCACATCACACTCCACACTACACACTTCACACTTTCCACTCCACACCCCACAGTCTCCACTCAGCACTCTCCACTCTCCACACTCCACACTCTACACTTCACACTCTCTACTCCACACTCTCCACTCCACACTTCATACTTTACTCTCCACACTTCACACTTCACACTCTCAACTCCAGACTCTCCACTCCACACTTCACACTCGACACTGCACACTTCACACCTCAAACTTCACACTTCCCACATCACACGCCACGCACTTCACACTTCACACTTCACATGCACTCCACACTCCACACTCTCCACTCCACACTTCACACTTCACAACTTCACACTCTCCACTCCACACTCCCCACTCCACACTGCACGCTTCACACTTCACACTCTCCACTCCACACTCTCCACTTCACACTTCACACTCCACACTCCACACTCCACGCACTTCACACTCTCCACTCCGCACTCCACACTTCCCACATCACACTTCACACTCCACACTCTGCACTTCACACTCTCCACTCCACATGTCACACTTCACACTTCACACTCCACACTTCACACTCCACACTGCACACTTCACACTTCACACTTCACACTCCACACACTTCACACTCCACACTCCACACTGCACACTTCACGTTTGAAATAACATCACCTTTTGTAACATTTCCCAAAGACAGCGCGTCGCAACGAACTTTTGAGGAAATGTTGGCGCGAAATGCACTTTCACAACTTCAAAAACATAACCTTTTGTACCATTTCCCATAAAAACTGCGACGATGCGAAATTTCGACGAAATTTTGACGACAAGCCTGCATGCCACAAAGCCCCACGCCTGCCACGCGAAATGCACTTTCACAACTCCCAAAACATCACCTTTTGTAACATTTCCTATAGACACTGCGACGACGCGAGAAACGAAACGAGCAGCAAACAGTCCTCCACCCCCAGACCCCCTACCAACAAAACAAGAACCCTTCGCTACACATTCGGGAAAGAACTAAGGGTACAGCATGGGGCCCCCCAGTTATAAGTGGTTTATAAACGACTATAACCACCGTTAACTATAGTTATATCTACCATAAACCATAGTTAAGCCCCATCCTGTATGTCAATTTATGAAGGGTGATCGGGTGATTCCCTGACTTCCCACATGTTTCATGGTGGCTCCACCCAGTGGTTTTTCATCACCGCATCAAAATCGCCATATCACATGAAGTGCTCTTCCATCAGAAAAAAGCATGTTCTTTTCAAACGTCCCACTGTTTTTCTTGGTGCAAAATTTCAATATCACCAGAGTTTTGATGGTTAAGTCAGTCTGTTTGATGGTTAAATCACTGTTTTTCATGGTGGAGTCACCGTTTTTCATGGTGAAGTTTCCTTTTTTGCTGGTTAAGTTTAAGTCCAGGCACCGAGCCATCATAATAATATCCTCCATGAATCCACATGGTACCACGCGTTCCTTGGCTCTGCGCGTAGACCGCCACATGGCTCCGACGGCCCCCAGGACCACCCGGCTGGGTGAAGTTGCTCCAGGTGTTCCTCGTGTGCAAAATGGTGTGGCTTGTGGTGATCAGTTTACATATATATATATATATATGTGTGTTTAAAAAAAGAAAAAAAAACATATATACAGGTGTATGTGTGTGTATTATGGTGATTATTCGTGATATTTATATGGGCACTACATCTATATATATATATACATGGTGATTCACCACCAAAACCGGTGACTTGACCAACAAAAATGCTGACAAACGCCACCAAGAATCGTGACTTAACCAGCGAAAGAGCCGGTGACTTGACCAACAAAAATGGTGACTTGACCAACAAAAATGGTGACTCAACCAACAAGAATGGTGATTCAATGGGAATTGAATGGAGTACTCTAACCATACCTTCTACGAACCAAACTGTTTGCCATGGAAAATGACCATAAACTCCTATGTCATCAAACATACTCTTAAGATGGTTACCCGAACCCCGACGTCGCAGTGCAGTCGTTGTAATTCATCAAGACAAAAAATAGTTCTTTTGTTGTGGGGTCGTTTTAAGCCATGTGCCAGACTGTGTATGCGTGTGTGTGTGTGTTTCTGTGTTTCTGTGTGTGTGTATGAAACATTACAGACACACAAACATCTAAATGCATGCATATTGTATACATACTATATATGTATATATTTGCATTCATAATGTAAATGCATAACATAGTCATATATATATAGTTACAAGCATGATTCACCATGTTTCCCGCCTGGATGGATTCGCTGGATCCATGTTACCACACCCCGGAGCACTTCATCCATGGCCCAAACTGATGAAAAAAATGAGACGTACACAATTGTCAGTTGCGATGTGCCAAAAAAAACTATATATATATATGTGTGTGTGTATTCTCAAATATATATATGTATATATACATGTAACTATGTATATATTTTAAAAAATAACTATTTACATACATTATATATATATATATCAAATATATATATATATATTATATAAATATAAGTATAAACGATATATGTATATTATATATACATACAATATGTATATATATATATATTATATATATAAGTATAAACGATATATGTATATTATATATACATACAATATGTATATATATATACGTTATATATACATACAATATGTATATATATAGACACATGATATATAAATACATTATATATACATACAATGCATATATATGTGTAAATTATATATATACATATATGTATATACATATATGTATACATTATATGTAAATATGTCTATATATATATATTATCTATATATATATATATTATGTATATATATATTATGTATATATATATACATTATGTATTTATATATATATGTATACATTATATGACTAGTACGTGTGCGCACACCCTCTCGGAATTTCACTGGGCAAACCAAAATCCCTGTTGTAAGTTGTAAATGGTTTGTCTTTCGCGGAAAGGTAAGAAGAACAAACAAAAATGCATGTCTAGCTACCATTTTTGTTCTTTGTATAAAATATATATTTATAAATACAAAATATACATTCCACCGGCAAGAAACCCCAAACAGTGTGGAGGTAGGAAGTCAATGTACCAGATACAAGCAACAGTAGCAATGGAACAGTAACAGATGAGGTTAGACATGATCGCAACTGCAGCAGCAGTGCCTTCTATATATATATATAGATCTATCTATTTAGAGGAGCTGACAACATCTTCAGACCAGAACTTCCTGTGACCATCCTCGAAGAACTTTCATACAAGCACCAATGGAGAGGATCTTCAAGATCTGAAGGCAAGGACCTCTTAAGGAGGATGTCAAGAAGGATGTCAACAGGATCTCCACAAGATCTTCGCACAAGGACCTGAAGATCATGTAAGGACACCTAGAGGATTTCACCAGAACCTTTTCAAGAGCTTCCCACAAGGACCTGTACAAGGTCATGCAAAGGCCTCTGACAGCACGCCACGACGATCTCCACAAGAGCTTCTCAAGGACTTGTAAAAGACCTTGACCAAGATCTTCATGCCAGTACCCCTAAGAGAAGCTCACAAGAGCGTCGTAAAAGGACCTGCTAGCTGGAGCGGATCTTACAAGACCTCACAAGAGCTTCCCACAAGAACTTTCATACAAGCACCTGTAAGACAGGATCTCCACAAGATCTTCTGTTAAGGACCTGTGCAGGATCATGCAAGGACCTCTCAGGGAGGAATTTAGCAGGATCTCCACCAGAACCCGCTGAAGCGAAAATTCACGATGAAAATGCCACAGACCAAGAGCGTGAGAACACCGCGGGGCAGACTTTGCGCGAGCCTGCGCAGTCGAAATGCACATGAACATCTCAAAAAAGACATTTTGTGCGAGGGTTTGCAGGAAAAATGTTGCCCCCCAGAAGTTAGGCACACGTTTTGTGCGAGCCTGCGCAATCGAAATGCACATGGACATCTCAGAAAGAGCCATGTCATGCCAGAATTTACAGGAAAAATGCCGCCCCATAACTTAGGCGCACGTTTTGCGCGGGCCTGCGCAGTCGAAATGCACATGGACATCTCAGAAGGATCATTTTATGCGAGAATGAACAGGAAAAAATGCCGGAGGCCAGAGCACGAACCCTGATCTAACCCCGGCCTTAACTCCTACCGTAAGAAGCCCTCAGTGTGGACACGCTGTTTGGGAATTATATATATATATACACACCCGTACTTACAGAGTCATACAAGGTCATCATAGATCTATCTCCATCAGGAGGTCAGCACATCTCGCCAAGATTCGCTTGGATGTCAAGGCACCAGAGCCTGGGGGGATCCAGGCTGGTCATTTTTACCACAGGAAGGGAGGAGTTATGTTCGTTGGTTTATAGCCTCATTGATGGCAACCCAAGAAAAAATAGAAAAGTCCTACTTAATGGCAAATTCCAGTTCAAACTTTTCCGGTGTTGCTATAACTATGTACAGATATATCCATCATAAACCCAAGCTAACCTACTTTTAAACCAACCTACCTATCTGGGTTGTAATATTAATGTGGTAAACCCAAGAATAAACCCCATGTTGGGGGTATGGGTTGTACATGTTTGTACCCCCAAATGATTAAAGTGGATTAGTTTGGGGCTGGATGGGCTTACTACAATCTACGGGATAGCCCATGATTGTTCGTCTTCCTGTTGACTAGTTGCAATCAGCATTTTGGTCGGTGACCCACATCTAGTAGTTCTTTAAGTCATATTCCTCGTTTTGGTATGCTCAAAACGCTACATGTTAGAACCCTAGGTCCATCCAAGCGGCTCTTTGGAGGAAAACCAGCCACCAGAACCGACGGGGGAGCCCGCCTGAGCTGAGTGGAAAGGTTTGAAACTCAACAAAGAAAGGATTGGGTCAAACATTGGGTACCGATCGATCCTTTTTGAAGTTGTCGGACGCTCAAAAAATGTTTAGTAAGTTTAGTATCTCTTATTTGAACCACCAACCCACTGAAAAATATCAAACACCCAGTGAGACTTTTTTTTTACTGTTTACGGTAGGTTGAGACCGTTTTCCCAAACACCCACGAGTTCCCCTCCCAGCCTCTTGGGGGCATAGTTTTGACCCTCATTTGGTGAACTCGACGGACCAACGTCTGCCCAAAAAACTGGAGAGTTGGTCATCTGACCTAATCATTGTGCTCACAAGTGTATATATATATAACACATGTATATAATATTTGTGTAATATATATATATATACACACATACGAAGTATACAATATATATATATACAAATGTGTATATATATATATATACATGTATAATATAATATGGTACACCTTCTACATGCGATTTCTTACCAGTATCTTGCTCTTATGTTCCTAGTAGCGGTTTGCTGCTTTTATTTCAAGATGCCAAGCGGCAAACATCCAAATCATGCCAGTCCCAAAGGGCTCGTAGACCTCAGCCATTGATGGAATCTGGGAATATCCGGGGATTATTGCTGCAAAATCCCTTTCAAACATATAGGGATTTGGTAGTTCGGAAAGTCTCAAAGTAATCTAGGCATAGATATTAGAAAATCCCCTAAGTTCGAATGATTGCTGAAGATCAGGATCCCCATTTCATAATCTGTAGAATCCCCGTTAAAAACATGGTAAGAAAAAGCCTAACACAAAAAGGTCGCGTTGTGCAGTGACAAATCCTCGGCAGAGAGACTGCGGAGTGGTACATCAGAGGAAATGGCCCATCCGCAGCTTGCGACCACGAGTTCCCCGTGACGTCGTAGATCCAGGTGTCAAACTGACGCTTGGCTTAAGGTGGACGTCCACAGCTATGGAGATGGTCGAAAATCAACACGGACACACACACACACACTCTCTATATATATATACATATATGTATAATATATACATATATAGTATATATATATATCATATATATATACACAACATAGATGCACATCATATGTATAAATACACGCATGAAAACCAGCCAGTACACCTGAAAAGCGCCTTGTTTGGGTGGTTCAGCCAGCCATCTATGAGTCAAAACCCTGGGACCCAAACGGTACCCTAAGTCATAGCTGGTTGCTCCAGGTTCATACGTTTTGACCCATCGCCCACTGGTCTCTGGCCAGGGCATCCGAATGATTGGGAGAACTATTGATGGCTTCGTTGGTTTCTTTTGACCCTCAGGTGATCTGAACAACCGGAAAATCGTATATACTCAATATAATATATATATATATATAATATATAAATATATATAATAAATAATATACAATATAAAATATAAAATAATATAAAATTATAATAATACAATATATAGTATATAAAATATATATGATATATGATATATAATATATAATATGATATATTATATATATAATAAATATATAATATATAATATATAATATATAATATATAATATATAATATATAATATATAATATATAATATATCATTTATAAAATATAATAATATATATATATCATTATACAGAGAGAGGGAATATCATCTATGATTTTCCCATGAATTCTATGAAAAAGAATGCCGGCAGAAGATGTTCGTGACAAACATCCAGCCATGCTTCAACGCGGCCTGTGGGATATTTGAATAATAGCCTCCAAGGATCCACATCCTGCGGACGTGGTCAAAGTCATCGGAAAACCAGAGATGTTGACATCGGAAAACCATAATGCCCCAGTTACATATGGAATATATATATATATATATATGGAATATGTATGTGTATATATATATATATGGAATATATATATATGGAATATATATATATATGGAAGTTTAGAGATATCTATGAGATTTTCTATGAACCATAGCCAGATGGCGGAAAAAAGAGACTTGACCAAGACCCGCAAATCTTGGGATCTGTGGAAGTGATGGGATGATGACATGGGGATTAGCAATGGCTGTTTGATCATTGAATGGCTGGTACAGGGATGATTATCCTTAAATTTCTTAGTTAATACCTACCCATAGGGATTTTAGGGTCGCCTAATTTCAGACAAACCCTCACATCACCAGGTTCCTGGGCCGTGTATCCAATCCCATCATTTCTGTTAAAGCATTCATTTTGCTTACTTAAATCGCCATCCGTTACAAGTAGGTTTCAAACGAAAAGAAAACAGTTGCTAAGCTTTAAAGTGCCGAATCCTCACTTTTTGTCAAGATCCAAAAATTTCGAAGCGGGCGCCCCCACCCCCCGGTCCTCCCCACGCCATCGAGCACAGCAGCATGCGCCCGGCGTGTCGGGGGTACGCCACCCACGGGTGTCAGCTCTGACCATGAGGAGCTGGTGGTGTCGTAGGAGAAGAGATCCTCGATTTTTGATCTGCTGAAGCATCGGAAAATTGGGATCTAACAATCAAAATGGAGATCTAACCTGCCCAAAAAATTGGTTTTAACATGATTTAACTATAGGGAAAATGGGATTTAAAATATTTAAATGGTATTTAACTACTTAACCATTAAAAATGGGGATCTAAGTTCTAAGAAACAAGAATAGAGCAGTGCTCAAAAATACTTTGCCAAGTCCCCATGAGTTCCAATTGGTTTTTTCCGCGTTACATCCTCGTTCTCAGTCAATTCCCAATTCACCATGAACAATTATCATCTGAATTTGTCATCCCCCGGTAAATTCAACCAGGACATTTCCCCATAGAGAACGATAGCGAATTCCCAACGAATTGAAAACGTGACTTCCCAGTCAATTCCCGATGGATTCCCATGTTGCTTCTCCATCCAAAAATTCCCTGTTGATTCCCCACTGATTCCTCATTGATCATCCACTACTCCCCATGCTTCCCCGTTTTTTCATCATGTGAAGTCTTCATTGCTTCCCATTGAATTCCACATTGCCCTTCAAACTTCCCATGAAAAATTCCTCAGTTCCCCGTGACTGTCCCATCGGTGAATTCCCCAACGAAATTCCCATGAAAAATCCGTTTCCGTCGATTCACCGCGCTTTAACTCGCCATGCCAAATCCGAAGTGATCCCCGCTAGAAATCCCTGCTATTCCTCATTGATTTCCCATCTCCCAGTAGTTCCCCATTTACCCCAGGGAATCTCCCATTTCCGTTCCCATTTACCCCAGAATTCCCGGAAAAAATCTGAATTCCCACCTTGAATCGGAAAAATCCCTCGAAAAATGCCTTGTTTCATCCAAAAATGATGATTTCACGGGACCGGGAAAAAATCCACCGCAGTGGAACCATGGTGAAACGAAGATTCAAAAATCGAAACTTCTGAATGGCGAATCTACCAAGAGAAGTTGGGACATTCCACAATGGGGTATTTACCTGAAATTAAACTTACTTGTGCTAAACGTAGGGAATTTTCGGGAATGATCCACTGGCTAACTAACAATAATAATCCCAGCAACCCCCATTGCTATCCATTCCCTACGTTTAGCACCAGTAAGTAAATTATTTAACAAAACTTGGATATAGCGAAGTCAACCAAAATATCTTTGGATTTGTCAAAAAGTTCTGGTTTATAAAACCTACATGAAGCTACCAATGGGGTCATGACAGGCGCCACAATGGGGATACAGTATGTCACACTCTGTGTTTTAGTCATGGTATCATGGATTGCCCTTACGGGATGGTCATCGCCATATATGTATGGAATATGTGTATGTATATATATATATATAGATATAGATATATTTATTTGTTTATTGATTTATTTACCTATGCGCTTATATACCCAAAAAATGACCCAAATGTAGGTAAATATTCCATACCATGGAGCATGTGGGGTATGGTTTCTCTGGCTGTGTCGGAATTTCAACTCAAGTTATTGGCAATGCTGAAAAGGGGCAATGAAAAAACCGAGAGTTTGGTCATGGTAAACCCATGGAAAATGATGAAAACCTATGGTAAACCTATGGAAAATTATGAAAACCTATGGAAAACCAATGGAAAATGATGAAAACCTATGGAAAACCAATGGAAAATGATGAAAACCTATAGAAAAACTATGGAAAATGATGAAGACCTATGGAAAAACTATGGAAAATGATGAAAACCTATGGTAAACCCCAATGGAAAATTATGAAAACCTATGGAAAACCAATGGAAAATGATGAAAACCTATGGAAAACCAATGGAAAATGATGAAAACCTATAGAAAAACTATGGAAAATGATGAAGACCTATGGAAAAACTATGGAAAATGATGAAGACCTATGGTAAACCCCAATGGAAAATTATGAAAACCTACGGAAAACCAATGGAAAATGATGAAGACCTACGGAAAACCAATGGAAAATGATGAAGACCTATGGAAAAACTATGGAAAATGATGAAGACCTATGGTAAACCCAATGGAAAATTATGAAAACCTATGGAAAACCAATGGAAAATGATGAAAACCTATGGAAAACCTATGGAAAATGATGAAAACCTATAGAAAAACTATGGAAAATGATGAAGACCTATGGAAAAACTATGGAAAATGATGAAAACCTATGGTAAACCCCAATGGAAAATTATGAAAACCTACGGAAAACCAATGGAAAATGATGAAGACCTATGGAAAACTTATGGAAAATGATGAAGACCTATGGAAAAACTATGGAAAATGATGAAAATCTATGGTAAACCCAATGGAAAATTATGAAAACCTACGGAAAACCAATGGAAAATGATGAAGACCTATGGAAAAACTATGGAAAATGATGAAGACCTATGGAAAAACTATGGAAAATGATGAAAACCTATGGAAAAACTATGGAAAATTATGAAGACCTATGGTAAACCCAATGGAAAATGATGAAAACCTATGGAAAACCTATGGAAAATGATAAAAACCTATGGTAAACCCAATTGTTGATGTTCGCTGGGTAGGAACGATTTTTCGGAAAGGGTCAACCTTTGGGACCAATTTGGCCCAAAGATTGGGTCTAGTTGTGGCTTATCAGCATATGTTGCAATCAAAATGCAATGTGTAAATTATAAATGTTCCATTTTTCAGGCCTCAGTTTGACAAGTTGTCTTCTCAAAAATCATTAGAAAACAATCAACTCGAAAAACCTCCTAACATTTCGACAGTTCAACCTTTTGTTCCTGGGTAGTTTCAACTCATCCACAAAGAACTGAAAGTCAATCCGAATCATCACCTCACTTGAAACCGGGAAAGAAAAATGAAATCAACCAGATCCATGTACTGTATCAATAAAATTCAGGCAAAATCCCCATGGGTGGTAGCTTCGATCATGTTAAATCCCCTTTATGTTGGGCCAGACAAACCTCCCATCAAGTACACATCACGGTTATTCATATCAATCGTTCTCAAATAATATCAAACGATCATCAAACAGTTTGATTTTGCATGCCCCCAAAGAAACCTATATCTCCCATAACGCCATATAATAACCTAAATATCCATAAGTAACACTTAATAAATAGATACTACAATGTATGTATGTATGTATGTATGTATGTATGTATGTATGTATGCATGTATGTATGCATGTATGTATGCATGTATGTATATGCATGCATGCATGTGTATAGTATATATATATATATTATGCACTATCTCTATGTGTATATATATATACATACATACTCTATATTATATTTATATATATAGTATATAATTTATTATATTGAATAATCGTCGAAATCAGGGCCTTTCCACATCCTCCCGTCAAAGTGTCCCCGCTGTAGCTGGGTCCATCTCCACCGTAGATCAACAGCGTGCTGCCCACCACCACCATCGACGCCTCCCAGCGTTCCGTCGGGGCCCCAGCGGCTGAGGCGTTGCGCCAGGTGTCGCTGGTGACGTTGTAGGCCCAGATCTGGTTGATGTAGTCGAAGCTGGGCGACGCCACAGAGTTGTCAAAGCCTGGTGACTGGATTTGTTGGGAATCTTAGGACGTGACTGTGGAGGGCCCGGAAATGCTTGTCACGTTCACGCATTTTTGGACGATAAAATATAGGGGTAGGGTTTGTATTGCAGAAAACGGATCTAAAGGAATGTGACCCCAGTTCCCTAATATTAAACGCTTCTTAGAAACCATGGCTTAGTACGGAGTTTGCACACAATTAACACCATTTTGGGAGGTGTTTAATATTAGGATGGGATTGCACACAGTCTTTGTTCCACCGTAGGTCACAACGGTATCTGGGCAAATGCAACATCCAATCATCCCGGCACCTCGTCCTCCGAAGGTAAACATCTCACCATGCAACAAGGCGCTGCAGGCACTCTGCACTCGAAAGTTGCCATCGCTGAAGCTGCTGCCAGACCACTCCGCCGTCGCCGCCAGCAGCTGCGCCAAGAAGGCGATGCCAATCGTACGCATCGTACGTGCCGCCAGCCAGTATCAAAAAGTCAGTTTTTGGGGGAGCTTGAGCTTGGTGAAAAGCGCAGTTTAGAGCTGGGAGATATGGATATATACGTATGTATATATGTGTATATAAATATGTGTATATATATACGTATATATATATACACATACGTATATACGAATATGTATGCGTGTTAATATGTCATATTTATATACATAAAATATATATAATTATATATGGTGATATATAGTTAATATAGTTATATATAGCTATAGTTATAGTTATATAACACATATGTTCATCATCTTTCTTTTCAATATCGGTGTCTGACATGTGTGGCTTGTGTTTGATTTATGTTAGAAATATGTCCAACTCCATCCAAATCCCCGACTTCAAGCGGCGAATGCACCATGATTCATCTCGGGCATGTTGTCCAAGGTGGGTAACATAGGGATGGAGAGTGGACCATATTTAATGCCACCAACTAGATCTAGTATCAACATGCATCAACAGACATCAACAAGGAGGTATGGGTCAGAAGGATCAGAAGGATCCACTGATGGTTCAGCGGTATGGCCAAGTTTGCTGGCTGGTACTCCAAGTTCGTTCCCCACCGCTATCAATCCCAGTCTGGTCGCAATGTAGGAGTGTCTGGCGACTTGTCGCCAACAACCGCCCTGCAGCGTTGAAGTAGACCTTGGCTCGTCCCGCCGATTTTGCTTCGTTGCCGAGATCGTTGATGTCACTTGATGTCCATGGCTTCAAAATCCAAACGATGTGGCTCTTCGAACCGAGGCACAATATCCTCAGATGCGGCTCGGCGGAACAGCGGGTTGTGGTACAATCCGTAAATCTCCTCGTCAATCATTCTCCGATTGTGCCCTCTTTAGAATTCCATTTTGGTATACCCCACTTTCAGACACACCCAAAAGGATAAATGTGGACATGGGCAACACTTTTGCGAAGGAATCCCATAACTGGGTTCAATAGTTCATCTACGCAGAATGGTTGAAGAAAAGAGGGGGTACCACATGTACCACCGAGTTTCCTCAAGGAACTAATGGGAAATTGATGGAAATTGGGATATGTAAGATTTACCAACCACTGTGTTCGAGATTACACAGCCACCAAAGGGCCAAGTGACTGGAGTTCAGCATGATCTACTCTTGGGTCTACCACACCTAAATTTCACACAAATGCTGCTTGCCACATTCTGCAAATTACTGAGTCGGAACGGATTGATATCTATATTATGTATATATATATATCCCCTGTTTGTGCTTGCTAAATCTCCAAGTCATGCTGCAAGAAGCTGGGAAAATCAAACTTCTTGCTTTTAACCACACTTTGGCTGGCTAAATCCCAATCTTCAAGCTCTGTAAAGACCTATTTCTGTCGGTGAAATATGTGTGTTGGTTACATCACTTAAATCATTTAAATTCCCAGTCTTCACGTTTAAATCCCAATGTTTCTGCCAGTCAAATACCAAATCCTGCAGAGGTTCGTTTTCTGAAGGCCATTTGTGGGTATTCCATGGTCAAATCCGCCATGGAAATTGCACCTCAAATATCATAGAAATTGCTAAGTTGAATGTCCACTTGTTTTATAACATAGCTATTGAAGCCATGGCCCATTTATTCGTAGTTGATTTACCGTTCTGAAAGATGGTGGTTTTCCAGTTCGCTATGTTAGTTTTAACCATTTTCCGAGCCAAGGCTCTGGAGATTCCTCGTCCAAGCGACTGGCACGGCCGCCCAGGAGCTTCAAACCTCGCGCCGCGGTTCGCATCATGATGTGACTTGCAGTTATATTGGATAGTATATGTATAATGTATATATATATTATAATTATATATATATTATAATATATATATATATATTATTATATATATAATAATAATATAATATAATATAATATAATATAACATAATATAATATAATATAATATAACATAATGTAATATACAATATAAAATAATATATATATAATATAATATAATATAATATAATATAATATAGTATAATATAATATAATATAATTTAATTTAATATAATATAATATAATATAATATAATATAATATATATATACACCCTGCTGATTTAATTGAGGTGAACTAACCCACTTACTGGGGTGAACCACCAAGTAAAAGAAAAACATATATATATATACAGAGGATTGCAGATGTGAAATAAATATAAGTGATGAATGTTGATCTTGGTGTTGAAGGCCTATGTCATTTTTTGGTCCAACTCTCACCCATTTTTCAGGCCCTTTAGACTCTGCTAGACTCATCCTAAATTGTGACCCGGATCAAGGAAATGGGCTGGTTTCACTTAGCACATGGGGGGTACCCCCAAGATGGTGTCTCAATTTATCATTGCTTTCCTCTTAAAATACTATGATTGTATACAGTATACCTAATTTTCAGCAAAAATCCTTTTAAAAATGGAGTTTACTTAAAACATCTTCAAACTATCCTTTACCATCCTTTACCTATTTTTTCCGGGGTAGCCGTCCCAAAAAACGGCGAAAGAAATGGCTCCGAAGCCGCC